ACTGCCGGGTTTGCTAAGTTAGATCTATATCATGCACTGGATTGTATGAGATATCAATGTCATCAGTGAAATTTCAAAAGCTAAAATTTGTTAAGAAGGTTTATGCCTTCTATCAAATTCGTATAATTTCTATGGCCATTCTGTACTGTTCAGTATGTTACAAGTGTAACGTTATGCATCGCCAGTGGCCTACTACCAGTGGCATGGTGTTATTGGTACTGTTGTAGTTTTTTGCCTTGCGTTAATTGCTTACAGGTGGCAGCTCTCTACTTGCAGCCTGTAGGCTTCGCGTAGGTTAAAATGGATGAGTGCCTTACTTATTCTGTCTGTGCATAGTTGTTGGCCTACTACTGTACGATGGGAGCTTCCCATCTTTAATCCTGAAGACACTTAACGTACCGCCATTTCTCGTGAGCCAACTTTCATAACGATCCCCAACGAACATTCCTTCGAGAGGTTCCTGATACCGCATCCCTGTGCATTGCCACTGTTTCCGGCGTGTATGTGAACACATTTGGGACTAACAGGGTTTACTAGAATCCCACCACTCCACCACAGAGTCACCGCAGTAGACGTTAGATGAGCGCTGTCGCTCCGCGGCACTTGTTTACATTGTGAGCCGAGAAATATCTGGCGATTGTGGGCGCAGCCATATTGGATCACGCGTTCACGTTGTTCTCGCATGATCTAGAGTTAGTCCCATCATTCATTGCGCACATAACACACAAACAAAATGGCCGCCTGCTCCAAGAAAAGAAAAGCCTTACTATTTTCATGAATCACAGGTTGGCAGGTCTGCACAATCCATTGCAACGAAATGGCACAAATGGCGACGATATATCGGTGCGGGCTGAATTAGCATGAATGTAGCAGTAGTAATGAAGCATGACTATCAATGACTGCGTGTGTTTGCTCATTCTTAGATTTCATTATTAATAATAAGATCGCAATTGCTATTCTTTTTTTTTGTCACTGGCATCCATGATGATAATTAACCCGGGTTAACCCAAAAGCCGTTCGTTTATCTTTCCTAACCCAGATGCGTTTGATTTTGTACCCAGGTTAACCCATGTGGCTCTGGGGAAGCAAATCGAACGCACTAGTAAATAGGTATGGAGCACTAGGCACAAGAAACTATTATGACTCAGTGAAATGTAATATCTGTGTTGCACAAACACACTGATTTTAATGAGTTGGTTATCAAATTACAGGTCAGTTGCTTTCAGAATGGCAGGAACGGTTCTTCGTGCATCAACGCGTCAACTACTCGTGCAGAGAAGTCACTTGCTCGCCCCAGTTACAGGCTACCATGCAAGAGCAAAGGTCGGCAACAGAGACATCGTTGGATTTGGCTTAAATGGGGAGCCAACATACGTGGGTATGTTGCATGTGCAGTAGTTATTCTAGCTTAGTTGTGTGAGAGTGTTCCAATCAGTTTCATGTTTAAAACTTTAAAGCAATGTTAATGATAGGTGTAATAGTATTACTATATATACACAGGGCTCCCTCTAAATGTTTTAAAGTTTGAGCCAAGACTTGAGCCACCAAACATATTTTTTAGCCGCCAATGAAAAACTATAGCCAATGTTCACTTTATGACGTGCTAAGCAAGACATAAACAGGTGATGGGTATGGAAAAAGGCCATTTCACCACATTGATTCATTTTAGCAATTCCGTGTGTCCAAATGTGTCTAAGAGACAACGTTTTGAGTGTATAGCATAGTGAAAAATCTCAAGGATAGGTGCATACTTTTTTTAAGATGAAATTTTAGAGTGTCTTAAATTGTGTCATTCAAAATTGAAGCCATCTTGCTGACGTGTTGTCTAAAGATAGCCAGATGGTTTAGCTAAGTCAGTAGATAGAATGGAGCGTTGGATAATTGAAAGTCAGCCAATCAAAGCCCTATTGTATCTTGGTATAAAAATAGTGGCATGTGCCATGTGGCGTATAGTGATGTAATATTTTATTCATAAACATGTCTGTGTGGTTTAGATCGAGGTGATTTCCCATGCCCTGCTGTGCGTTTTATGGAGAACACTGCTGATGTCTATTCGATGAGGGAAAAGGAGAAGACATCTTGGATAGGGCTGAGCATGGACGATAAGAAAGCATGTGAGATAATTTTTGGCTTTGTTTTTTGTTTTATCTAGAAGCATTCACATCCTGTTTAGTCCCAAATGTGTTCACCAGACACGCCGCCGAAACAGCTGGAAGGCACAGGGATGGGTATCAAGAACCTTCTCAAGGAATGTTCGTTGCGGATTCGTTATTGAAAGTTGCCAGCGAAGATGGCGCGTACGTCTTACATGTCTTCAGATTAAAGCATGGAAGCTCCCATCGTACATAGCTAGCAACAACTACTTTGCAAGACAGGAATAGGGTAAGCACTATCCATTCTTACCTCGCAAGCCTACAGGCTGAAATAGAGAGCTGCCACCTGGTAACTAATTAACGCAGGCCAAAACTTACACCAGTACCAACCACCACATGCACTGGCCAGTGGCATTGACGTTACATGTAACACACTGACAGTACAGCAATGCCATAGAGAATTATACAATTGGAGGGAGTATAAACCTGTCTTGCAAGCAAATTTAGCCTTTTGAAATTTCAAGCCGCCGACAGCTGCTGACATTGTAGCCTCATACATCAGGCATGTTAGATTCTACTAGCAACCTGGCCTTAGTCCAAATTCTTATCTAAACAGACAGTACAACAAATCTAGTGTTTAACCCTTCCTCTTGAGGGTCAAAAGGTTATCGCACTTACTGCTTCGCATTGATCAGCAGAAAGTACATTTCATGGTTCTTTCAAAAGCCATAAATGCTAGGTTCACCGCTGAAACAAAAAAAGTTTTTCAATCGCCCTTCCGTCAGATCCATGTCCTCAGAAAATCGCCTAAAATCTGTCCCCTGTGCGCCCATTGAACCCTCCAATTTTCCGCACAGTGATGGCTTTTGCCTACCATGCCATGTCTCATACTCACCATTATCACCGGAGGCCTAAGGTCGAGCCGTTTAGATTTGTGTCCGCAATTCTGCACTTTCCCTGCCCTATACCTCTAAGTCTAAGGACGGGAGATGTTCCTCCTTCTTTTACACCCTTTATTGACCTTAGTGACCTTCTGCACCCACCAGCTTCGGCATCCCACCACGTCGTTTTCGGATTACCCCCCCCCCCCACGTCCGAAGTATCGTGACCCGTACGTCGGAGGCGCGTTAAGGATTTGGGTGGCACCAACTGTTGACGCCGCGGCAACGGCACGGCACGACGGCGGGGGCGACGACAGACGACGATCATGCCCGATTCTACAAGCTGCATCTGACAACGTCAGATGAGCTATATAATTGGATAAAAACAAAGATTTAGTTCATACCAAGCAATGCTCTCTTACAGCGGAAAAATACATTATTTATTTTTCGGGCGCTACTTTTCAACGCCTCGCGGATGAAAATAGCCACTCTAAAATTTGCGTTTGCATTGAACTCTATGCAAATTTACGGGTGGCTCTTCGTTGGCGATCTTCCGAGGCACGGCCTTTTTTTTTCTGGCATTTCGGGGCTAAATGCGCCGCCGGCGGCGAGGCCCCACGTGTAATTTTTTTTCACTGAAGCAACTGTCGTTCAACATCTCTATTTGTTTTAAAACAATTGATTGCTGTCACAATATCTAAAACACACACACACAACAAAATTCACCTACTGAACAGATGTGCAATGGCTCTCTTAGCATAAAAACAAAAAAAAGCAGGGAAGCAAATTATGTCAACATGATTTCTTATCATCCGAGGCTCAGCCCTATCCAAGATGTCTTCTCCTTGTTCCCTCATCGAATAGACATCAGCAGTTGCGCTTCTCCATAAAAAGCGCACAGCAGGGCATGGGAAATCACCTCGCATCTAATCACACAGACATGCTTTAGAACTAAAAGTATTCACATCACGTATTACGCCACATGGCATCATGCCACTACTTTCTCATACCAGATACAATAGGGCTTTGATTTGGGCTGGACTTTCAATTATCAACACTCCATTCTAATCTACTTGCACTTAGCTTGAAACCACTGCTGGCTATTTTTAGCAACACGTTCAGCAAGATGGCCCTTGAATGTGAATGAACACAATTTAAGACACTCATAAAATTTCATCTTAAAAAAGCTATGCACCTTCCTTGAGATTTTCTCACTATCCTGACTACACTCAAAACGTTGTCTCTTAGACCACATTTGGACACACGGGGAATTTGCCTAAAATGAATGCAATGTTGGTTGGAAATTGGGCCTTTTATTCTCCATACCTCATCACCTGTTGATGCCTTGGCTTAGGCACTGCATAAACCGCGTGAACATCTGGGGCTGATAGTGTGTTCGATTGGCGGGCCTAAAAATATGTTTGGTGGCGTCAGAGGTCTTCGGGCTCAAACTGTTACAAACATTTAGAGGGAGCCCTTGTGTGCCCTGGGAGTATATATACTATAGTCAAGAGCTAATAATTACCGTAGAGGTGTGTACAACGGGAAAAGTACGGGGAACAATAGTGCTTATTTTCACGGACAACATTATTCGTACTTTGCCCGCCTGCGATGTCTATAATAATTTCATGTTATTGCATTAAGCAGAATTGCTTTGCTCTCTTAAAACAAGACCAAACAGACTTTCAATACGATACTTCCTATGGTCGGAGATATCGGCTCCGTAAACCTCCCCTCCCACGTGCAAACCGCGCCGCTCGAATCCACTTCTTGTCCCCATCCTCTCACGTCGTCTAAGCATTTCGGGCCTATCGGTTCCGTCATCCGCCCTTGGAGCGCTGATAATTGATGTCACAATTTGCCAAATTTGGGTAACTCTTACTAGTCTGCGTTGTAGGAGACTTAATTAAAAAGACATTTGCGGCGCTCCATCATAGCACGCGCCATATAAGCCGGTGCTATGCGCAAAGATAATGGAGATAAGGGCATAAGGGCGATGCCCCGAAAGCTCACCTCCACCCTGCCACCTTGCCACCCGAAAATCATTTCATAAAATGGTATGGTGGAAAAACCGAACTCTCACGACAGCAACGCTGAGTCCGCGTGAAGGCATGGGGAAGAAAGTGGATTCGCACGGCGGCGCGTTTGCGCATTGTGGGAGGGGAGGTTTAGGGAGCCGGATATCTGCCGCCTAGGATATCTATGACGAAGCGGCGTGTGGGTCTTGTTTTGAGGAGAGCAAAGAAGTTCTGCTTAGATGCAATACCATGAAGATTATTATTAGACTCGCAGGCAAGGAGTAGGAATAATGTGGTGTTCGGTGAAATAGCGACTATTTCCCCGTTGGTGTCGTTGTACATCTAGGTATTATTAGCTGCTTGGATATATGATTAGCGTATTGATATATATATATATATCAAGATACTATATATATAATATATATAATATATATTAGCTAATGACTATTACACCAATCATTACATTGCTTAGAAAGTTTTAAACAGGATACTGATTTGGCAACAGCTCTCAAACACAACTAAAAAGCCTAGCAATAACTACTGCACATGCGAACGATAGCCCACGGTATGTTGGCTCCCCATTGTAGATGCCAAATCCAACGACGGGCTCGTCGTCTGTTGCCGACCTTTGCTCTGTGCCATGGTAGCCTGTAACAGGGGGCTAGCAAGTGACTTCTCTGCCCCGAGTAGTTGACCCGCGCCGTTGGATGCGCCACGAAGGAAACCGTTCGCTGCCATTCTGAAAGCCAACTGACCTGGTAAGTTTGATAACCAAGCTCAGTTAAAAGTCAGTGTGTTTGCTGCCGAGACCACAGAGTATTTACATTTCACTGAGTCAGTAATAGATTTCTGGTGCGCCTAGTGGCTCCATACCTAGTTTACTGAGTCGCGTTTCGATTTGCTGTCCGCCGGGCACATGGGTTAACCTAGGGGTGACAGGGAAATTCAGAAGCGATCTGGGTTAAAGAGATAATACGAACGGCTTTTGGTGTTAACCCCGGGCACTTGTTAATTATCCATCATGGATCAGTGACAAAAAAAAGAATAGCAATTGCTGATCTATATTAATAGAGAAAGTCTGACGACATGAGGCAACACACGCGATGCGAGTTGATAGTCATGCTTTCATGGACTGACTGCGTAGCCAGGTCGATGCCTAATTCAGGCCCGCAGCGACGCTAATATCGTCGCCATTTGTGCCATTTCGTGCTGCCAACTGGAATTGTGCAGACCTGCGAAAACCGGTGATTTCATGAAATAGTAAGGGCTTTTCTTTGTCTCGGTGGTAAGCAGGCAGGCATTTTGTAGCACTTGTGTTTATGTGCGCGGCACATCGGAATCGATGAGAACCCTCAGCCACTCTAGCATCTATATGCCATCGTCACATTAGGCTATGAGAACAGGACTTGTGCTTCGTCCCCAGAGTATCCTGTACTGC